AACCAGACAATAAAATCCTTCCCCTTACTTGACGGGATTCAGTACACTGGGATTCTAAATGGCATTGTCTTTTTGTTCCTTTGCATTCTGTAGCGAAGTGATGATGATGACAGAAGCAGTGACAGGAAAGACGGGGCTCTTGAAGAACAAATAGAAAGACTGCAGGAAAAAGTGGAATCAGCTCAAAGTGAACAAAAGAACCTCTTCCTTGTCATATTTCAGGTATTGTGGCTTGGGACATTGATAGAAAAAAAAGCAATAATTTGTTTTAAAATTTTATTTTTAATTATAAGTCACGTGTACATTTATACAAGGTTAAAAAATACAAGAATTTACAAAGTAAATTGAAAGTTCACTATTTGGAGATAACCACATATACCTCCAGACTGCACTGTTTACTGAGCATTTCTCCATGCTTTAAATATAAAATGGGAATGTTTCTGTTAAGTACCAGTTGTTGATCATTTAGGTCACTGTCTTCCAAAAAGGATGCACTTCCTCATGTTATCACTGGTCTACCTTTCTAGACTGACAGAATTTATTGAATTATCAAAAGTTAGGAACACCGAAAGACAGTGAAAGAAACAATACCTTTGAGGTCTCTTGTCAAAATGTGATTGTTTCTGAAGAATTCACTCTCTAACCCCTCTTTAACTTTGTACTCCCTTTCCAGCGATTTATCATGATCTTGACTGAGCACTTAGTACGATGTGAAACTGAAGGGACCAGTGTATTAACACCATGGTATAAGAACTGTATAGAGAGGCTACAGCAGATCTTCTTACAGGTTTGTGGGCAACTTTGATTAGATAGTAAACATCACTATTCTCAGCCACAGATATTCTATTTTGAGAAATCACTGAATCTGTCAGGTTATAGCACCTGTAGGCCTTTTAATTCATGTCCATTTGTTCCTACTGTTGTTCATTAGAATATTTAGGCTTAAATTGGTTCTATATCACTCAGATTGCTCTGCTAAAAAGCCTAGCTGTAATACAAAATGTAGAGGGAAAAAAATGCTAAGGGAACAATAATTACATTTAAAAAGGTCCTTAAAATCTAATGTTCAGATGATAAACAGTGCCCCCAGAAGCAAGGGTAACTTTCCTGAGGTCTTTCTAGAAAGCAAAATGCAACACCTACTCTCCGCTAAATTAAAGTCAAAGATTGGTAGGAGAGTCGAACTAATTCTTTGTATCTTCAGACACTAACAAACACTCCTCATTTATTCTAGAAAAGAATTAAATTAGAAGTCATAAAAAGAAAAAAAGTTATTTAAGCCTCCAGATATTCTCTAGATTTTTTTTTAGTTATTTCCAATTAAAACAGCTCCTAGTCCTCTAGGGATTTCTGAGTATATTCAAGTTATACAGGTGCACACATAAGAGATTATTTCATTTTCTGACACTTTGATTCCATTTAGGCTCAACAAGTCTCTGATTTTCAATAAGACAGATGAGCTATTTTTAAAAGATAACCAAAAATGAGGTTTAGTTTCTTACTTTGTGCAGTACTTAAGAGATTAGCCAGTGATCTGGGGGGTTTTTTTCACCCTTTTGCAAAGAAGTATTTTAATGTTGTAACCAAAAAAGGGAAGTGATTCCAACATTTTCATGTCAAAATTATGGTTTTAACCTTAACAGTAGCAAACAGCAACTGTGCTATTATTTGTAACATACCACCTTCCCTTTTTGTTTAAAATCTTTCCAAAGTTAGTCCCTGTCTTGGCTACTTTTAAAGGCATACCTGTGTTCTCTCTTTATTAGGGAGAGACCCAGCTTAACCTTGTCTGTAATAGTAGTAGCAGCAGATACTGCTGCCATTGCCTTAAAGCATGAATTGGATTTACATAGAAGCTGGTCAGAACTGGATTTAAGTTATTGAATGTACTTTTTTCCTCATTTCCCTCTACATTTTCTTAATGTTGGGGCTTTTCAGGGGCCTATTATTCCCATCAGCATAACCACTTTTTCCCCCCGACATCTTCTCATCATTCAACAATGTGGGTGGGCTGCCAGCGGGAATTTTCTGCAAGATTGTTTGTGTGCTCTTTTTACCGGACCTAACTAAATACTCCCTTTTCTGTGTCCACAGCATCACCAAATAATCCAACAGTACATGGTGACCCTGGAGAACTTGCTCTTCACTGCTGAATTAGATCCTCATATCCTGGCTGTGTTCCAACAGTTCTGTGCCCTGCAGGCCTAAGGGTCATTTTTCCCCCTCATGTCAAGATTTTTTAAAAAATATCTCAAAATAATTTGTCTTATTTTTGATTGTTTGAATGCTTGCTTTCTTATAGCATCCTTTCACTTACTAAAGGAAATGGGAAGGAAGACAGTAAAGAATATGGCATTGATTACCTGTTAATCACCCCTAAAAAGTATATTCCCCAGTGACAATAATGCGATGACCATAGGATATGTTATATGTGACAGATACAACTTTTCTTATATTTTTTCTCCTTAAGGCACAAAAGATAACTGATTTGAGGTCTGAAACACTAGAGGCCAAGCTTACAAAGTAGTATATAGAACTGATGGGTTTATCAAGTAGCACAGCTTTTCACAGCTCATGGATAACCTAACATGGCCAAAATAAAACTAAAAATGTTTTTTAAACTTTGGTATTTCATGATTTATCATCTCAGTCTACTTTAAAACTAGTGGTTTCTTACTGAAGATGTACTTCCCTCCACTTGAAATGTTCTCGTTTTTCTTAATTGTAGTATTTTAAGATACTACTAATTTTAAAAAGTGTTATTAGAATAGCAGTTTCCAAATCTGTCTGAACATAAAACTCCTGGGAACCTTTAAAATTTTTTAAATTAAACCATAGTCTCTGGAGGTGGAATACAGACATCATCGGTAGTTCTTAAGGCTCCCCAAGTGATTCCAATGTGCAGGCAAGTTTGAGAACTTATCTTAGAGCCCCTGGTCATCTCCTCTAGAAGTAGCTAGGCTGGCTAGAACTATACTTGGAGTTAGAGTAGGTTTGGATTTTGTTTCTATGGAACCTGGTCTAAGTACTACTAGTTCCTGAGCCTGTTTCCTATATGGTCTTGAGGCTTCACTAAGATGTGAATACACTGTAAAATAATGCAGAAGTATAAAAAATTATCTGACATTCCAAATTCCTAGAATCTTTAAGACTTTTTTCATTAAACCTTAGAAAAAATTTACCAATAACCCCACTACTGATGGTATTTTTGTGCATTTGTACAACATAGGTATCTTTTAACTTACTACACTGTTTAAAGTATAGGCTGCATTAAGCATTTTCAATATTAATATATGGTCTCTGGTTTACCATACATTTAGTGGCTACAGAATATAGACTACTTGGTAGGTGGGAATTCCTAGGATTTTTAAATACCATACTTTTTAAGACAATTATTCACAAGATTAAGTTGCATGGCAAGTCACTAGCCAAAAAGGGGACTAAAATTCAGATTCTTGGTTAAACATTCTTTGTTTATACTGTTCCTCCTTGTATTGCAAAGTTTGGATAATTATACTTGATCCAAATTCTAGAGAAATTTCTAGGTTTTCACTTCCTTTCGTGTAATAGTTACTTCTAACAACTGTTCACTGATGTGACCCTGCTCTGTCCCAGTCTGGCACCAAGTATATGGAAAAACTGAACTAGAGACTGAATTCTGAATTAAATAAAACAATTAGTAGTTGCTTTCAGCAGCTGCTTTCCCCACTAGTGAAGCTCACAGACAAAAGAATGGCATGAAATTCTTTTGGCATGAAAATACTTGAAATAAATCAGTATTAAGTTGTAGCGATGCCATTTACCATACTTTTGTCAAAGGGAACATATACTGTTGGCCTTGATTCTAAATCTCCCTTCAAGAATTAATTATTCAGGGACCGGTTCATATGAAGGTAAGTTCATTTGTTTTTCCTGGAAAGTAGTTATCTGTATAACTTATAATTGTACCAGAATATGAAAGATGAGGAAAGAACTTGACAACCTGGATAGAGCAGATCTGGCTATCAATATCTGGATACCAGAACTGTCTTAAATTAATGAAGGCAGAGAGTGACAAACCTGTAACTACACTGGTCTTGATGACAATATGTGCTCATTAATGGGTGGCTGTTATGTGCCAGGTTCCACATAGTCACCATACTTAATCCTCATAACAGTTCTTTAAGAGATGGATTATTATACCCATCTGACAGATTTAAAAAAAAAAACAGGCCCATGGAGTAACTTACCCAAGGTCCACAGCTAGTAAGTGTAATTTGAACCTAAATCCATGTGGCTCAAGGGCTCTTTATCTCAATGCAGATATGTGTTGTCAGCAGCCTGAACCCCTAGTTACTCTGTTGTCAACAAGCTGGACTTTTTTGGGGGGTGGATTAGGGGGGGTAGTCCCAAGAAGGTATTGCTGTTGGTTCAGAAGCAAAAAAAAAGTAACAATATATTAAACATTTCTGTACTGAATACTTATACAGAGAATAAGTAATTATAGTCTCAAGCCTCTTTGGGTTTGACTTGTTTTGACTTTTGCCTTTAAGCTTAATCTCCAAGAGTTGATCTAGAAAGAAAAATGAAAATGTATGAACTTCTATTTGCAGCAGTAGGATAAAAAGTTATGTCAAAGAATAAGTTAAAAATACCCAGTTTATCTTAACCTGAATAATGCACAGATCCTATCAACCACATGGGTTCAAATCCTCTTAACAGCTGTAAGTACCTTGTAATCCTTTTAATAGAGGAAATTTTGACTTGCTAAACTTGATCCAGATGTCTGGGGTGATATCAGGTTGTAGGTTATCACTTCCTTTCCAAATGGTACATAAACACAGAAGCAAGTTGTCTTCCCTCCCAGGATTAAATGAGAATTATCTGTAAGGCACTTAGCATAGTGCTTGCCTGGCCCATGGTAAGTGCAAGTTATGATAAACTTATTGTAAGTACCTTCTTTGATCAATAAACAATACAGCTGGTTTTCCATTTTAATCCAGATTTGAAAAGGCCTATCTAGATACTAACATTAGGGCTTATAGCAGTAAACCCTACAGATACAGAAAACAT